GAGAATAAAATTGGTGCACGAATACTATATTTCAGCCTAAAAGTGGTAGTTAAAAATTCCAAGATGGCGATTGGTCGCTCATTTTTAGGCTCCTTGTGTTTACTGTGTAATCCTTCCTATAATACAAAAGCACCGTTGAGTGTTTTTGTGCATTGACTCGCTTATAACACAGCAACCAGTCATTAAAAGGCTATTTTATATCAGTCCTCTTTTCTTGGAAGGGTCTATTCAAATATGGAACATTTTATTCAAACAATGTCAAAATCTGTCCGTTTTTAATCTCTTTTATCCCATATTTTATTGCTCATTCAAAATAGACCCTTACAAAAGAAGAAGAAGAAGATTGATACAACATACCAAACCGAACGTTGTGATAATTAGCTGTTGGGTTATTAGCGATTCAATGAAGGTACAAAAACGATCATCTGTTAGACCCTGCCAGCCGGTCGTTTTTTTATTCTGGGACCATAAAGTATTCATAAGGAGCTTCAAAATGAGGTCCTCAATTCCTTTTAAAAAAAAGTCCAAAGTGGCACCCAGCCGCCATCTTGGAATTTTCAACTGCCTCTTTACACTAAAATTTAGCGCATACGCAACAATTTCATTATCTCGAATTTCAGCTTGCTGACTACACTTTTTTTAAAAATAAGCACCTTTTTTATAAGCTCTGTACAATTTCTGTTTGTCCCGGTAACTAATTCATTGAGACCAGACTCACTGCCTCACTGCCACTGCAGGCCTATACTGTCTATTATCAATAAAATTACAGTTAAACAGTTCCAATTGCAAAATTAGCGCTAGGTAATGCGCATTATGCATTTTTTAAATCAAAATCAAGAAGTATTCACCTGTACTCAATATGGCGTGAAAAAGACAAATGATCACTCGTCAGATTGAAATTCCAGTTATTACCTAGAGGAGAAAAACTTGAAAACGATCGTCTGGTTCTTTCGTCTCCGAAAATACTCTATTTCTTTCTTGTTTCATAAATAATACTAAACTTTGCCCCGATTTGACCAACTGCGTATTTCTTACTGTTTGCATTATTGAATTTGAAACAGCCAGAATACAGTGTGATCTAAAGGTTTTACTGTTCTTCTCAGAAACAGCTACTTTTGAAACAAAGCGAATGGGTAGAATAACAGCAGTGAAAACGAAAAAACAAACGTTGAAGAAAAGTAGGTACCCATTATTCAGTTAATAAAACATTTTAGAGTACCTACTGCCTGTCACATGTTGCCTGTAAATTATGTTCCTTAACTTTTTCCCAAATTCGCGGTCTTCTACTGTCTTCACCTTGCCGGCCTTTGCACGATTTGAACAGACCTACGCGACTCAAGACAGTAGCTTCCAGGAGAACGATCTGAAGGCAGTCAGTGTGAACTAACAGCAGTATAATAAAACATAACATTCGTTATTCATATATGAAGGTGGCCATTTCAGTTTTACAAATGAAATTTGTAAATAAGCTAGGTGTTAATCTACACATCGCGCTGCCCCCGATATGGATACTGACACACATGTACCAAAACATCAAACCCTTTCAATATCTCGATTATCCTGAAGCTCTGGTATATGTGTTACAACGAAAATTACTTACGAGTACGGCTACATGGACTACACGCTGTGTGGACGAAAGTTCCAACTTTAGGGACGCCCTGTATGTATATGTATCTTGGTTAAAGCTATCCTATAGGTGTGGCCATGGAAATTCTATACGAACATCTTGGAGGACAGGTGGATGATTCACTGGAGTCTACGTTGACTGTATTTGTAACACGAAGGCTGTTAGCCCGGATTTATCGACGCTCTAAGCCAGTGGAAGTGGAAAGAGGGTAAAACAGGGGTTGGGGGTTGGGTTAGCTGCATTAATGACTTACTGTGCGGTACTTAATGGACGGCACTGACGGCCGCAGCCACACCAGTAATGATTGCTGATTAATTATTGCTTCCAGCTGATGAAAGAGGTTTTGCCACGCTCTGAACACTGCAGACATTGCTGGCAGAGGGATGCCTGACATAGCATACAACTGCTCGACAGACTATAGGTGCACCTCATAATTGGAGAAGTTTATCATGAAGTTTGATTTTTGCCCTGTGAGAGCTTTAGACATAAAAACAAAAACCAGATGCAAAAAAATCATTAACTTAATGATGTGGCCTCACAAAAGAGCATTAGCTTTTCAAAAACTCAAACTTACGAAAACGGTTTTAACATGGCCAAGAACCAAAGTTACTTTTCACTTAGGCGTTAAAATTTTCAGAAAATTAATTCTTACAAAGAAATTGTTGATAAACCGAGAAATTGTCTGCAACGGAAAAACAAAAAAAAAACAAGGACGTAGTTTGGGAATGCTTCCATATTACTTTCCGCGAATAGCAGAAATCTGTCAAATTCGAAAATATTTTTTTGCAAAATTCATTCGACATACTAGGTATAAAACACTTCAGTTTCATAGACGTTGCGTAACAGTACAGTATTTAAAAAAAAATCATTAATTTTTTACCCAAATCTCTTTGAATGGTGTCTAAAAAACAACTTCCGCTTTCCACCCTCCCTCACCCAATAACAAAAATTATCGCCGTATGAAATTCTGGCTTGAAATTTAAGCCCTGAGAATTTAATTAACTAACACGCATGCTAATGCCGCTCAAATGCCCGACGTAACCTTTGCCTACGCTCAGTTCACTTCTCTTCTGTGATTCCGCTATTCGCTATAAATTCGAGGATGCAACCACATTTCTCTTTTGCATTGTTTGCATCGATGACAGCCTGTGCTGCCAATTTTTATAGCGTGAAATACAAATGTTTGATCTTCCCTTGAACGGTCCTCAAGTAAGAGTTCATTGTTTCCAAGGAGAAATCTCTCATCAAACGCTAGTCTAGCTCCAAGGAACGTTAATAAAATGTGACTCTAAAGTACATTTCTAAATTCATTTGTGTGTTCTGCTACTGCATCATAGATGGAGCCAGTGTGTTTCAGACTTCTGCGACAAGTGAATAGAAGCGACGCAGAGTAAGTGAATTCTGCATAGACTTAAGTGCGGAGCCAGCAATTGAAATTGTCAGTTTGTGTCTTTTACGTGTCAAGCACGCTGAAGGCTTTATCTAAAGAAACGTTTATTTTGGCTGGTCCGAAAAAGCCATATTTTTAGGGCGAAGAAGTACTTGTCTCCACATAAACCTCCTTACTCCTTAAAAGGCCCAGATAAAACATAAGCCTCGAGTACTGTTCACATGTTTGGGGTGCGGCCGCCCCAACTACATTATCCATGCTCGATGCTGTTCAGAGTCTCGTGACCGTTTCGCTCCGACAGCATTTCGACACTCTGGCTCTCTTCTACGTCAACAGCGTTTACTGCTCAGGGCTCTCGTCCATGATACCGCCGTGCAATGAGCCTGTCAGACAAACCCGCCTGACTTCGGCCTCATATCCTAACCGTATCGAACTTCGTACATCCAGAACTAGCCGTAGGAAGTCGAGATTGTGGAAGAATCTGCCTGAGGCGACTTTTACCAGTTGTTCTAAGCTTAGATAGTTCAAAAATCGGAATTCTTCTGAATGAAAAAAATCTCTGTCTTTGAGTCACCCTGTACAAAACACTATCCCCGCAATCCATATCACTCCTTCCTAGTTCCGTTGCGGAAGTTTGAGCAGAGTGCTGCTGCGTCTGCCAAAAAGGAAAACCTGCCAAGAGCCATGGTCTACTTGATCCTTGTGGCCGGAAGCGGGTTTCGCGCCGAATGTATGGTCGACAAGAGAGGTCAAGTATTAAAAATGTGCTGGGGCTGAGGCCAAAAACGGACGGTTAAGTGCCGATTCACCTGGACCACGGTCGATGGCTTCTTTCCATGGAAATATATCCAAGAGTTTATAGAACCGTTGTTGAGGGTGTAACGTCAGCAAGGCGGATTAAGGTGTGCGCCCACAGATGCGTATCTAAACTTTATTTACGAACGTAAATTGTATCATAATCTAAAATATGAACATTTTCCCATTTTTCAACGTAGTCACCATAATCACTTGAGCGTTTCTCAATTCGTCGCATCAGCTTTTTGATCCCGTCGACAATGAATACTGCCGTCTGACCGTTAAACAGTTACTAAATGTTTCTTTCAATATGTCAACATTCTCCAAGCACCTTCTAGCAAGAAATTCCTTTAGTTTTGGAACAAGACGACAGTCAGAGCTGTATGGTGGATGACCCAGTAATTCCCGACGAAACTGCCTTTGTGTCTGTGCCACAACGTGAGGAGAATGGCGCTACTAGAGGGCAGGCCTCGCCGGCGGTTTTGAATAGCGCGCCCAAGCTTCAACAATGTTTCACCTCTCAGAATTTATAGCAGTACGAACTGAGCGTGCTTCACAATCGGCGGGTAGGATTACCACGCAACCATCACCGACAGATAGGTGTTTCAGGATTTGAAATTTGTACCATTTTATATTGTTTATATCAAGAACCTAAATACAGTCCTGTCGACACGTACATTAATCCCACATTCCCGAAAGGTTTATAAAAATCGTTTTTTCTATAACCGCCCGAAATAGTAAATTACATACCCTGGTAGAGAATTATACCATAAGAGCTGAACACTTCTGTATTTTGATACGCTAGCTCCGAAAGATGTGCGAGGGCACCAATGGCCTTCCCCACCGAGGTATGAATAGATTTTTGCACTACTATGGTATATAATTTATTTAATTTGATATCCGTGAAATCTTCGCATATCTGAGAATGTTCTAAACGTCCGACAATACTGTCCGAATAAGGCACATGCAATGTCTGCAACACAGAACGGTGCATAGGAGAGGGACGCGGTGCTGATGCATGATAGAGTCCGACTTATTTTCGAATACTCCAACTTATGAAGTAGCATGGGGCAATAGCTTCAGATATAGAATAGGCTCTGTATTTACTGGTGAAAAGTATAAAGGACTTAATACAGTGACGGTTCTGTGCTCAAAAAGCCAGGGAAACTCTTCATTACCATTATTTACCTAGAGGGTTCACGTTAGATGTATCCAGCAAATGATAGCGATTTCTCAGATCACTAGTGAAAAAAAGCAATTTTTGATTTTGACTGAGGTAGAAGCCCTTATTTAGCGCCATAATAATCTTTCTACTAGAGCAAAGTTACCATGCAATGTTGTTGTAAATTGTAATTAATGGAGTAAATGGAAATGAGTGGATCATCGTTTCTGACATAAATGAATAAAGGCCTTCAAAATAGCAGATGTCAGAGGCAGTTTATAAGTGAATTTCGTAGGACTCTGTTTCATGAAAAAATTTTTGTAACATACATTTGTTATCTTTACTTAAATCCTTGAAATATTGATAAAACAAAAGTAAAGAGCAGTTTTGCGTACAGTACTCTTCAAATAATTCCCGCCTACCAATTTTTTTGAACAGGTCAAGTTACTACCACTTCGAAATTGGAGGGGATAAATGCTGTTGTATAATGTCACAGATAGTCTAATCGCAAATTTCCCCGAAATAATTGTAAAGTCTGGTTTTATTGGCGCAAGTTGTTCTTGGGAGCATGGACGCATAAAATGGCTATACCAATTTTTGTGGGAAAACTTTTTATTTGACAACAAAGAATGAGAAAACGCGTTTTTTGGGATTCAATCCAAAGTGTTGACAGGAACGGAAAACTTCTCATAAAAAATTTTTAGGTATTTATGAGACCTACAAAATGAGACCACACGTAAAAAGATCCGACTAAGAGCAAAAATGTTCTGGACGAAAAACGAGGCAAAATGCAGGTTTTGGCACTTGGTAATGCGACGATAATTTCACGCAACTACTTGAACTTCTTCAAATCCGTAGGATTCATACTTCTAAATAACAACAAAATTTGATTATATTGGTCAAGTAGTTTTTAATAATTTCTAATTGCTTATCCCAAAACAGCCGTTTTCCGGCCATCACTACTAGTTTATTGAGCAATATACAGGGTTCGTTCAAAGAACAAATACACGTGTTTACATTGCCGATATCAGTCACAAACCATTCCGAAAGATAAATGTTATTTTTATGCGAAAAACAATGGTTACGTTTTTTCTTATAAACAAATTCAAACATTTCCTATTTATGAGTAAATGAACAAATGCCCTACGATATCCGAAAAAGCATACGTTACTATACACATTTTAAAACAAGGTGCATGTATCTATCATCTTTTGTTGCGAATTACTCACAAATACGAAATATTTGGATTTGTTTAGAAGAAAAAACGTAACCCATTCTTTTTTAATAAAAATGACATTTATCTTCCGGAATGGTTTGCGATTTATGTCGGCAAAGTAAACTAGTGTTTTTTGCTATAAAATGCCCTTTGATCTAACCCTGTATATTGCTCAATAAACTAGTAGTGATGCCCGGGAAACAGGTGTTTTGGGATAAACTATTAGAAATTCTCAAAAAATACTTGAACAATTTTGTTGTGGTTATTAAGAAGTATGAATCCTATAAATTTGGAGAATTTCAATTATCTCCGAGAAACCGAGAAACCGTTGCCTTACCACCAAGTGCCAAAACCTGCAGTTTGCCTCGGTTTTCGGCTATAACTTTCTTGCTATTAGTCGGATCTTTTTACGTTTGCTCTCATTTTGTAGCTCTTATAAATACCTAAAAATCTTATATCAAGACTTTTTCCGTTCCAGCCAACACTTTCGATCAAATCCCAAGAAACACGTTTTTTTAATCTTTATTGTCGAATAAAAAGTTTTCCCACAAAAATTGGTGTACCCATTTTATGCGTCCATGCTTTGAATACCTCCTTGAACAACTTGCATCATAAAAACCAGACTTTACGATTATTTCGCAAACCAGGGGTATTTTCGTCTATGATTAGACTAAGACAGCAGCTAGTGTGTCACTTGTGGTATTTTTGACTTTTGTGACATGTGCTTTTAAATTGTAGGTTAAATATGTTTTCAGTTAGTTGTCGGGTAGCAGGTTGGGAGTGTACATAAGAAAACGAAAAATTACTTTTTAACACGTTAATTCTTAATGCCAACAAAAAACATATCCCCAGTGACACTTCTCGTTTTTTATAGTATCACCAAAAACACATATTTGTCCTTGTATACAAAAATTTTACATTTTTTTTATATGAGACACGTTAGCCCCACGAAGCCTCAGAATAACATTTAAAAATTATGGCCGCGTTAGACTAACTTGTCTCACGCACATTGTATTCGCATGCATTTTTTCTACAGCAGTTCAGGAGTATATCACACTCAAATCAAAAACCACTGGAAAGCGGCTGAGATTTTCAGTACCCTCAAGCCACATGTTTTCAATTTCCATATAAATTGTATGGTCTAATTCTTCAAACGAAGTAACACAAATCTCTAAGTAAATATTTAGCAGTGGGACAAGTTTTGTTGCACGCGACATGAATGATCTAGAAAAGTGTGAGACAAACGCTGTCAACGTGTTAATATAGGCGGTTTAAATTTTTTTCAATAGTAATTTTTATTAGAAATATATCCTTAGACTCCTTTTTGAATTTCTGAAGTAGGATAGTTCGCGCGACTTTTCACGGTGTGGGAAACGACGACTTCACATCAAATAAGCTGTTAGGAGATTATTGGACCTCGGCCACAGAGCGAGCACCGGATTTACTCGGATGTGAGCATCCGGCAGACATATTGTGTTACAGCACAATAAGAGAAAAAGATGGCGCAGACACACACGAAGTTACTGTCAGTCGGAATTTCTCTACGAGTGTATTCTGTAAAGAGCACTGGATGTTATAGATGTTCTTTGGATTAGAAACGATGTTTCTATCTACAAAGTGCATTATTCTGTTGTCTAAATGTAGCTATTTTTTATGAGCAGTCCGTAGTTATAAGCAATTACATTGGCTTTGAAATAAACCAAATCCAAAACATTCTTCGGCGTCTTGTAGGAGGTTTGATCTGTAATCTAGACAAATGGCATTGAAAATCGCCTATAACTCGAAAGCGGCCAACTTTAGACGAAATGTACTAGGGACATATTTTATTCAAGCCAAGAAAAGAATACGTAGAGGAAAAAAAATTTTGAACTTTGCACCTAGTTGCCATTCGACAATCTCTTGGTTAAGGCGAGATGTGCATTTAGCAAAAGATAAATTTTCAACAATACTAGTGTATCCTTACAAGGAAGTATTATCCAAGTATGGCATTGATGAATGTATACAAAAAATATGTCCATATTTTATGTCCCTAGATAAAATAATTATTGGGGCCAATCTGGCATTAGGGACATATCTATAAACCTGGCATTACTGGTGACAGACTTGAAAGGGGAAGTGGAACTCGGCCAACGGCTTTCTTTAACGCAGCTGGAGGGAGAATACACCAGACAGATATCTCGACCGCTTCGTTAGAAGAAAGCATAAATTGCATGTGCTAGAGAATATTTTTTCAATGTCATGCGTCGTTCTTTACCCAGGGAAGTTACAAGAGTAGATAGTTTGGAATTCGACATATTTTATATTTTTTTTTGTAAATATAGCGAATGAGTTTTACATAGAGATTATGGGATTACTGGGAGGGCCTTTACATCTGGTTGTGGAGCCTCGTCGTGCATGTACCACATACGGAATCTTTCCATGGCTGGAGCTTTTTCTAAAAGTCCAAAACAAATTCTAAAAACATACGGTATTCTTCTCCATTAAGTCTAGGTAGAAGAAATGATGCCCACCGACATGGTCACCGATCATTCCAACCCAAATATTAAAAGAAAACTGTGCTTGAACATTATGTTCCATTAAGGCATCACCATGTTTGGCTCAAATGTGATTGTTGTGGAAGTTAATAATTGAATTGCGAGAAAAACAAGCTTCATCTGTAAACAATATTTGACTTAGAAAACCTGGATTCCTCATCATTTTACTGCGTAACCAATCAGAAAAAGTTAGTCCTAAAGGCAAACCTGTGAGTCGCATATGATATGGATATAGGTGCTGCTCTCTTAAAATCTGCCACACTGTGACATGGATTGGTATGAGGATTTGCTTCAATTTCATTTAAAACAGGTGCTTCAATTTGAACTTGCAGGCCTTCCGATAACCATCGATCCTTTAGCTGCCTGTTTCAGAAAGTCGTGCATGGAGACGTACAAAAGTTCTTCTATCAGGCCCTAACTACACGCTGAGGAAATATTTCATGATAAATGCGTCTAACAGGAATACATATTTGCCATTTCGCTATTAGTAAATTGAACCATGTTGGACAACAATAACCATTAAAAACATTTTTTTAAAAATTATTAATTAATTGTTTACGTCTGTCAAGTTGTTTACTTGAGTGGTATAATCGTTTTCCAAGGCAACCCTTGATTATTATTTACTATTCCTCAGCTTAGTAAATTGCATTAGTTAAGATGTTAATTTAATGTAATTTAATTTAGTGTTCATTTGTTGTTGTTACATAATCAGCAATTAAAATTACAAAATAAATAATTATTTCCAAAAGCTAGGACTAAATTACCTCCTTAATGTTGTAAATAATAACGCCAAATTACAACAAAATTAGGTAAAGAATACGGAAAACCATTTTTTTAATTTTAACACCCTTGAGAACGAATAATTTGCAGATCTATGTTTGTATGAACTTTTTGTCGTAAAATTACCAAAAAAATCGTGTGTTAAATTTATGGTACATACTTAAATAACACCCTGTATAGGTAAGCAGAGTGAATGAAATTTGTGTGGCGGGATCTTGGACACGGTCACTAACAGGTTGGCGACTGCTGTACGAATAGAACCAACATTGTTTTTTTAGTCATCACCATGAAATAATCAGATAAAAAGGATTTAGAATACTGCTGTAAATAGGCAGTTGAAAAAAAGACATGCGACCTTAAGGGACATCCAACAAACGTGATCAAAATTTGAGGGACTGGTAATTTTTCCCACGAATACGAGGTTTCCGCTTGGTCTACATTCTTATTGCTGGTAAATATAAAAAACAACTTGACCTTGTTGGACCTACAACAGTACATCTCCTAGCATTCCTGCACTTATCCCGCGTAAGCGGTGCCAAGGGTGAGATT